TAAATCTACTATTTCGAGTGATTCCCGTGACGCTCTATGGACCAAATAAGCGGGTCAATACCTATGCGCTTCTAGAAGAAGGGTCATCAATTACGATGATGGACGTCTCTTTGGTACAGGAACTTGGACTCAACGCTCAAAAACGTCAAGTAGAAATTCAGTGGTTTGGAGGTAAAGCCGTGAATGAACCCGTGGTTGTTGTTAACTTATTTGTTAGTGGTCTAGGAATGAAGAAGCGTCATATGCTTCGCAACGTCCACGGTGTCACCAATCTAAACTTACCCATGCAAATTCTCAGCCAAAGAGATATCCGCAACGCCGTCAGGTATCGGGGTAAAATGCCTGTACAACCGTATGAAAATGTTACGCCTAAAATTTTAATTGGACTGGACCACTGCCATCTTGGATTGCCTATCAGACCGACATCAACTAACCACGGCGGACCATATGCTGCATTTACAGATCTAGGTTGTGTCATATTTGGACCATCGATTACTCCGCCGCTAAGGAAGCCATCTTGTCTTCATGTCAAAGCGTCTGAGTTTCAGATGCATAACATGATAAAAGAATACTTTCGTACCGAGTCATTTGGAGTCAGAGCTGCGCCACCCATTGAAAGCGCAGATGGCATACGAGCTAAAGGGATGCTAAAGGAAACAACAGTGAAGCTACATGGCCGATTTCAAACTGAATTGCTTTGGAAGTGCGAAAATGTTGAATTACCAGAAAGCTACAGCATGGCATTGAGCCGTCTTGCGGGCATCGAACGACGAATGGCTAAGGACAGAGAGTTTGGCAAAGCCTACCAGAAAATTATCGAAATGTATGTAAAAAAAAATTATGCTCGAAAGCTGCAACCGAGTGAAGCTGCTAAAATAACTCCAAAAACTTGGTATCTCCCTCATTTTGCGGTAGTAAACCCACAAAAACCGGATAAACTAAGATTGGTGTTCGATGCAGCAGCGACGTCGCATGGAGTTTCGTTAAATTCTCAATTACTTAAAGGCCCTCAGCAGTATCGCCCGCTGGTATCAGTCTTATTCCACTTGAGAGAAGGTGCTGTAGCCGTATGCGCCGACATACAGGAAATGTTTCACCAAATCGTAATCCGCCCTGAAGATCGATACGCTCAGAGATTCCTGTGGCGCAATGGGGACGGTCAGAAAACGCCCGATGTTTACGAGATGACAGCCATGACGTTCGGTGCGGCATGCTCTCCTTGTTCTGCTAACTACGTGAAAGTGAGGAATGCCTTAGAGCACAGCAACCATGATCCACGCGCAGTTCAAGCCATAACTGAACACCACTACGTTGATGATTACGTAGACAGTTTCTCTTCTGCTTCCGAAGCCATACATATCTCGCAACAGGTTGGAGACATTCATAAAGGGGCAAGTTTTCAGTTGAGAAAGTTTAGGTCTAATGTCCCCGAAGTCGTCGCTGCATTGGATGGTGAAACTACGGCACTACCCATCAAGTCCAAGGAAACCATGGCATCGGAGAAAGTTCTGGGTATGTCGTGGCTGCCAAAAAATGATGAATTTACGTACCGCCCGGAATTTCATGGAAATGGCGCAACCGTTATGAATGGTGATGTTGTACCAACAAAAAGATTGCTGTTGAGTATAATAATGTCCATCTTCGACCCATCAGGATTCCTGTGCCACTTCACCATAACGGCTAAACTCATCATGCGCGAGATTTGGAAGCGATATCTGGGTTGGGACGAACCAGTTACTGCTGATATTTATGCCATTTGGAGTAATTTTCGAAAACAGATGCCGAATGTTTCTGAATGCCAAGTTCCACGTCACTACTTTCACAAGGAAAAGCCAGAACTCTTACAATTACATATATTTGTCGACGCTAGCGAAGATGCGTTTGGGGCAGTAGCATATTGGAGGTGGGAGACTTCGCTCGGTGATGTGAGTGCATCAATCGTGTTTGCCAAAACGAGAAGTGCACCGCTTAAGCCGCTTTCAATTCCCAGACTCGAATTGCAGGCCGCATTGCTAGGAGCACGCATGATGTCAACCATTGTTGGAGAGCATACAGTGCGCGTCAACCAATGCATTTTTTGGAGTGACTCGAGGACAGTCCTTAAGTGGATAGCCAGCGAGCATTGCCGCTACAAACCATTTGTTGCCCATCGGATAGCTGAAATACTTAGTGTATCAAAGTCGTCTGACTGGAGATGGGTCCCAACAAAGGAAAATGTTGCTGACGAGGCCACTCGGGTTAACAAAGACGTAAACTTAAGTCCGTCCTCTCGATGGTTTACAGGTCCGGCGTTTCTACATCAACATGTAAGTTTGTGGCCAACAGATACTTCAAATTACATTTCTATTGAGGACAATGAGGAATTGCGTCCGAAATTTGCACTTTTAATCGACACGAAATTTATAATCGATTTTGAAAGGTTTTCAGCGTACACTAAACTTAAGAGAACTGTCGCCTGGGTCCTCCGTTTTATCAATAACTGCAAATCAACCACGCAAGAACCCAACGATGCATTTCAATACGGTTTGACAGCTTCAGAACTCGATTCGGCAGAACGTTTACTATGCCGTCAAATTCAAAGGGAAGTTTTCGCTGACGAAATAAATCGGCTGAAGGAGGGCCGCACGGTCCTGGGCAATAGCCCCCTTTACACTCTTATGCCATGCATAGATGCCCATGGAGTTATCCGTGTCAGTGGCCGCTTAGGTGAAGCCAGCTGGCTTGCATATGATGCAAAACACCCTATAATTCTGCCGCCCAAACACACCGTAACGAAGCTTATTGTTGCCCATGAGCATAACCGCATGATGCACCTGAATACTGAGGCAACGATTTGTATGATACGACAAAGGTTTTGGATCCCAAATTTGAGAAAGGTTATGCGCGGGGTCATAGCTAAGTGCAACGTATGCAAAATAAAGGGAGCAAAACCGCATACCCCGCAGATGGGACAGCTACCAAAGGATCGCGTTACACCATATGTGCGGCCGTTTACATACACCGGCTTGGACTATATCGGGCCTGTGAGCGTCACAATTGGAAGACGGACGGAGAAGAGATGGGTAGCCATGTTTACATGCCTAACAATAAGAGCTATCCATCTTGAAATTGCCCATGACCTTTCCACGGATGCATGTATCCTTGCGTTGCGTAATTTTATGAATAGGAGAGGCGTTCCGAAACGAATACGGTCGGATAATGGAAAGAATTTTGTTGGCGTGGACGGCGAGTTGAAGCGATTTGGAGATGTGTTTGATCGTCACGTATTGCAGGGCGAGTTTTCAACGAAGAGTGTTGAATGGGTATTCAACTGCCCGGAGGATCCATCCGCAGGTGGGGCTTGGGAGCGCATGGTGCAATGCGTGAAAAAGGTACGGCGACACACGATGAAGGAGGTTAGCCCAAAGGAGCACACGTTCCAAAGTTTGTTGATTGAGGCTGAGAATGTTGTAAACTCTCGCCCGCTTACACATTTGCCCGTTACTCCAGAACAAGAGGAGCCCTTGACGCCCAATCACTTTTTGCTGGGAGGAGCCAATACAGCGCAGACACCGAGTTGTATGGAGCCGCCAGAGCAGTATTGCTCCCTTCGTAAGCAATGGCACCTATCGAGGCAGATGCGAGATCGATTCTGGAAGAGGTGGGTAGAGGAATATCTGCCAACACTGACTCGGCGGTTAAAGTGGTGTTCACCTACAGAGCCATTAAAGGAAGGAGACTTGGTCTTCATTTGTGACCCCAACGAGCCTAGAAAGCAGTGGCGTCGCGGTAGAGTCTTAAGAATCTACCCAGGCCAAGATGGGCAAGTTCGTAGAGCAGATGTGCTAACCTCCACCGGGTCGCTCCAGCGCCCTGCTTCAAAACTTGCAAAGCTTGACATAGTTGATGGTGAATCTGGCTCGATCCACGTGGGTGGGGATGTAATAGATTGAATTATTGTAGTAGGCTTTATAGTAAATAGCACCAAAGCAACTCTGTTAGATTCTTTGCCTACCCCAATTCTTCCTCCTTTGTTTCGCTATTCGCACGTTCCGTTATTTCAAAGCGTAGATATATAAGGCACTTTCCGCCATTTAGGTTATTTGAGAAAATCACGCGTAGCAAACGGTCGGAGTAAGAAACTGGGGTAAGTAACTTTGCCTATTTATTGTATTCATGTATGTATCATAACCAAATTTGTCTTTATATGTAGAAATAAACTTGCTTTTTCGATTGGCATGTTCCTCCCAAACTCCAGAGTTTTATTGCTGCGCGACAAATATTTTTGAATATCTAGCGATAGAACTTTTTAGAAAAGTATCGATACTAGTACTCATATAGAATACTCTAAAAAAGTATCGATGCCAGTACTCATATTTGCAAAAAATTATCGATAATACTCGTACTTCCAAGTAAAAGCAAAGGCGCATATTCATAGTCATATTTAGTACTCAACTAAGACGAAACTATTCTAACCGCCCTATTCCCACAACACTGACAACATTCATCATATTACTATTGTCACAATTACTACGCCTAAAACACAATATAAACATTGTTTCGCCGTTGTCACTTACTCAGTAGGGTATAACCAGGCATGAGCAGAGGCTTAGCAGGTGCTAAAAGGGCGTAAGTATCGCGTATGCGTATAGAAACGAGAGCGTAACGATGAGAACGCGACAGCATGCAAAATGAATTAGACACACTAATACATTCTCACTTTTAGCTAACGCTTGGTTGTGGTAGTGCCCATTTCTGGTCATAACAATAAAACTGACAATTGTCATACGACAGCTTAAAATAAATGTGCGGCATAGTATTAGGCGCAGTAGTAAAGGCAATAGTCAGCCGCTGAGTTTTGTCAGTGGTGTGGGAATAGGGCGGTAAGTCACAACCAGAGAACGTATATTTATATAGAAGGACCAAGAACGAATCAGCGTGAAAACTGTCAAATTCATACCAACAAAACTGGCGAAGCGCATTTTAAGAGCGGCCAGCCAGAGGCAAAATAAGTTTAACAGAAATTGTCTCATCTGTAATTTATGTGGACCGTCTAGCCCTTGTAATTCAGGCGGAACGTATAGACAAACTTGGCGAAATCGCCGGGATACACCTGCGCTGCTATAATTGTTTGTCCGTACAAATAATTGGCTGTTGTAGCTTACCAATATTGGCTGCAGTCACCTTGGGAGCGGTGTGGCTTTCACCACATTTGTAAAACACTTCGAATCCGAGTTCTATTAAAATTTATCCGTGTAACTCGCTTGGCGGTCCAACCAGAAAAGAAAGACCGACATTTTATTTTATTTTAATTTCATTCCCCTCATTTGACATTTTAGACTTTTGACATTTTACAATTGTAGTTTGAAGTAGATTAGCCGGGTACGGTTTAGTAAGTGGCCCACCTATTTCGGGGTATTGCGTCCAAAGGGGTGACCCGATCCAAAAAAAAATTGCACACACTTGTAGCCAAGGGTCTACCCATTACTTTAACAGCCACTATTGTAATTTTTGGTCACTAATTTATTTACAAATTGGGTTTGAAATATGCCCTTTTTTGTAAAATTCGGAAAATAGCTCACATTTATCACTCCTATTTTCCTTAAAGCAGCCACTTCACTAATGCATTTTTATATTCCCCTTCACTTTAAACTTTATTCGACTTGTTACAACTTTCTTTATTACTTTAATTTTAATCTATCAATCACAATTTATTAAATAAAAACATCTTCAAAACCACGCGTTAAGGCGCATCAATTACAGGTGATAGCGAAGGAAGCTATGCTTCTTCTTATGAGCACGCTTGTGTCAAATTATCGTCTGTTTTGCTTTATTTACATCTCCGCGTATACATACACATATACGTCTATATATACCCTGCAAACAAATGCTCCCGAAATCTTTAAAAGTGTCGGAAATTTGTTACGATTCTTTTAGAAATCTTTAAAGAAAAACATATGAAGCGATTGACAAGAACTAGTAAAGAAATTTCTGTACGATTTCTTAAAGTAAATTATAAAAAAAATTGTGAAACCTTTCAGAATTCTATGAAATCCTGGTATGCAGGGTATACATATACATACGAATATGAATAGATAAAGAAGATGTTGATGACACAAGGAGTTCATACCAACGGTAAATGTTGTTTTTGTACGATTGCTACAACCTGTAGTTGTTGAATCATGACCACGCGTTTGCCTTTGGTTGCATATGCACATTAAATGGTGGCGTTTAGCTGTCAAACTGCTAAATATACAAGAAGGATGAGAGACAAAAGAAAATATGATATAACCCAGTCAGCATTAAAAATATAAACCTTTCCATGGAAAATATGTATTTACTGTCCCTGTGGCTCCTTTCGCTGAGGGTTATAATCCCTAAGTGCGGCCGAAGGCCGCCTACGCAGAAAGGTGTTCTCTGCAAAAGGTGTTCAACCCCCTTTCTTTGGCAGCACAGAAGAGAATTCTACGTAGTGAGGGTTATAATCCCTAAGTGCGCCCGAATATTTCTATCTGTCGCTTTTTTGTTAGTTAATTCTTTTCCCCATCATTTTTTTTTTCAAATCGCCTGATAACCAACTTGGGATAATTTCTTTTATTTAAAAATCCCACGTTTTTCGTTAGTTGGGTTATATTCCACTTGAAACTGCTCAGTTTGCCTCGGAAAATTACGTTTTTACCCCATTTTCAAACGGTTCCCCAGGGGTCTGTGGGAGGTCCCCAAGGGGGGGGTGGGGCTTTTCGTAAAGTGGCGACTGTCCCCTTTCGAATGAGGGGGGTTTGGGGGGCCACGCCCCCTCCCCTTCCGCCCCCCACCCCAAAAACGGTGGGCCAATAACTAAACATTTCCCGATTAGCCTAAGGCTGGTGTTGCAGTGCGCAACGTGTGTGCCGCTACACCACCCTCCTACGGAAAGAAGAATAAGGCAGGGTGATCAATCTTGCCGTATTCTTCCTGCCCTTAATAAAATTTATTTGTTTTGGACGAACGAAAAAATTATCGGATGTGAAGATATACATGTATGTATGTGAATTTTTGTATGCAGCTGCCTCTTTCCCGTTTTTCGTTCGTTCAAAAGAAGAAAATTTTGTTTCTACAATTTGAAATACATATGCTTATCATTCCCAATTTTACTTCATCAATTTATAATGGGTAATACTTAAATATTTAGATCTAGAAATTAAATTTATTTACATAACATTAGACTTTAAGATAGGCATAAGTTTTTATTTGGACAATCATATATTTAAAATTATGTGTAACTGTATATACATATATGTATTTCATTCATTACTTGCTATTATATTATGATTTATCTCTACATATATGTGTATGCGTACATATATATCACAGGCCAACAAAAATGGTAAAAATTTTGTTTCCAAAAATGTTAAAGCTGTGTAATTCATTCATTTGATTAGGCTAGATTCGTAAAAATATAAATTATGATTGATTTTTTTTCTTTTTTTGTTACAAATTTCTGGTCTACCTGTTGAACATGTACATATGTATTTGCATTTTACAGAATAATAAAGAAAAAAATATTTTTAGTTAATTGGGCGAATTCTGATTTTGTGAACGGTTTTAAGCTTGTTTTTGGCTTTATCAAAAATAGTAATGTTTACACCATCGATTTTTGTTACGACATAAGGCCCTTGGTAAATGCTATTGTGTTTGTCTCGCGGTTCTTTTTGAATAAGGACCCTGTCTTTAACGTTTATTTCTAACGGATATGCATATTTGTCATATTACTGTTTGTTTCGGAACTTATGTTTGTTAATTAGTTTTTTCGCTAAAACGTGTGCCTTTTGCATCCGGTATTTTACTTCCTTCGCATAGTTTTCCACGNTTACCTCCTTCGCATAGTTTTCCACATTATAAACCGGATCAATGGTTTGTTTTTGCAATTCGTGTGGCAAAATTGCCTTTTTACCAAATGTTAATTCAAACGGTGTGAGTTTATTATCAAAAACTGTGCTAGGAGTGGTGTTGTGTAAAAAGGTGAAATATTTTAAGTATACATCCCAATCGGAATCTGTTTCAATCAAGTATGCACGCAAATATTCGTTAAATACTCTATGATTCCTTTCGATAGTGCCAACGGTTTCGTGGTGGTGTGCTGTTGAAAAATTGTGGTTAACTTTTAAAAGTGTCGTTAGCTCCCCAAAAAGTTCATTTTTGAACTCTGTGCCTAGATCAGTTTTTATTGAATTCATCGCGCCATATATTAGGATGAAACTCTCAAATATTGCAGTAGCGACTGTTTTTGCACTTTTATCCGGTATAGCTATTGTTACCAGATATTTTGTCATATCGCAAATTATGGTAAGTGCGAACTTGTTCCCACAACTCGATTCGGGTAAAGGTCCTATTGTGTCAATTACTACTATATCGAATGGTCTGCACGGCGTTGGCGTTAGAACTAATTTTTCTTTGTTTCTTGGCTTGACTTTATTCAAAAGGCATTTTTCGCAACTTTTGATAAATTTTGCAATATCTCGTGTCATGTTCTTCCAGTAATATTTTGTTCGGATTTTCGCATACGTTTTTTTGTTTCCGCAATGTCCTCCTGAAATTGGATCATTGTGATAAATAGTCATTAGTTGTTGTTTTTTGTCGTTATCTGTTATCGTTTCTATTGGGTCCGTTAGTACGATTTGTAGCGACTTCAAAATTTTGTTTCCACGTTCTTTTAACATTGAAATTGAAAAATGCTTGAAAAATGTATCATTCTTTGGCCATTCGATCTCGGTAATATTGTGATTGTCGGCTTCTTTTTGTAGCCTCAAAAGCAAATTGTCTAGGAATTTTGTTTCGTTGACAACCACAATACTAACTAAGTCGATTTTTCGGAATTTTCTATGAGCGCAAATAGTTATGTTAGAGATCTTGTTGTTTGTATCGTAGGTTATTTTTGTTCTTATACGTGGGATTTTTGTAGAGAAGTTAAATGAGAATTTGTCGTAAACGTTAACTGTCTTAGTCTCGCTGTCTGAATCATCGTTCCTGTTGTGTGATTGTAAGCTGTAATCCTGCCTCGTCATTGCTCGTGTTTTAACTGCTAGAATACTTGTCGTTGCCTCCCTGATTTCGTCTATAGAGATCCGCGAAAGTGCGTCTGCACCGACATTCGATTTTCCTTTAATGTATTCAATCGTAAAATTATATTCTGCTAGTTCAAAGCGTATTCGTGAGAGTTTTGAAGTGGGGTCCTTCATATTAAAAAGAAAAACAAGAGGTCTGTGGTCTGATTTTACAAGAAAATGTGTTCCGTATACGTAAGGTCGAAATTGCTTTATAGCGAAATAAATCGCCAGAAGTTCCAACTCGATAATTGGTTTTTTTTGTTCGGTATGAGTGAATGCTCTAGAAGCGAAGCAAATAGGCATATCTTTGTCTTCCTGGTATTGACTCAGTATTGCACCACATCCAGTTTTGGAAGCGTCTACGGTAATGATAAACTGTCTATTAAAATCTGGGTATTGCAGTAGCTTAGGTAACATTAAGGCCGCTTTTAACGATTCGAAAGCATTTTCGCACGCGCTGTCCCACACAAATTCAACTTTTTTCCTACTTAGGCGATTCAAAGGTGCTGCCAATATTGCGAAATTTGGTATAAACCTCCTGTAATAGTTTGAAAAAGCTACAAAGCGCCGAACTGCGTCTTTATCAGTAGGTTTGGTGTATTTTTTAATAGCATTTATCTTTGAATCGTCTGGTGACAGACCTTCAGCTGTACATTTATGGCCTAAAAACGTGACTTCTGGCCTCAGAAAATTGCATTTGTTTGGATTTAGTTTGAGGTTGAACTTTCTACATGTGCTGAAAACTGCGGTTAGGTTTTTTATGTGGTGCGCTTCGCTGCAGCCAATAACTATAATATCATCTACATAGAGGAATGCCATATTGGGCGGAATACCGGAGAACGCTATGGTCATCATTCGAGAAAATGAATTTGGTGCCACATTAAGGCCAAATGGTAAGACTTTCCATCGGAATGCTCCGCGATCGGTGCTAAAGGATGTAATGTCTCTTGAGTCGATATGCAAAGGGATCTGGTGAAATCCAGAGAACAAATCTAGGGTGGAAAAGTATTTCGCTCGGCCTAAGTTATCTAAAATGTCATCTACTCTCGCAAGAGGAAATTTGTCGGCAACGAGTTTCTTGTTTACGGCACGGAAATCTACGCACATTCTATACGAATTTTTACCAGTTGTATCCTTTTTTGGAACCAATACCAAGGGACTATTATAGTTCGAGTAGCTTCCCTCAATTAAATCATTTTCCAGCAATTTGTTAACTTGCCGATTGATTTCCTCTCGCTGGGAATACGGTAGTCGATAGTTCTTAACGTATACAGGAGTCGAGTCTGACAATCTAAGTTTTTGCTCGTAAAAATTGTTTAAGGTCATTTTGTCGTTGTTAAGCGCAAATATATCGGAGTATTCTAAACATAGGTCAAGTAATCTATCTCCGGAATGCCTTGGTATTCGTGTCTTCAGGATATGAGCTAGCTCTTTAACGCGAATGTCGTTTGTAGATTTTTTGATTGAATAAACATGATAATTAGAAAGTTTTTCTGTCCGAAAGTTACAGTCCTTAACATACTTTACACTATTTGTGGTGTTTATTACTTTGATGATTGGGTTTTTTGCATCAACAATACACCTAGCTGTGAAAACGCCGTTAGCGATTTCCTGCGACTCTACGAAAAGCGGCTCTGGGGATTTCCCAATATCAAAAAGTCGGAAAACCTCGCACCGAGGCGGTATAATACAACTGTTGCCCTCTGTTCCGTGAAGGATCGGAATTGAAACTTGTTCGTTGTTTAAATAGAAAGAAATACGGTTGGTTGCATAGCTGATGCTGCATTTGTTCGCTTTTAGGAAATCTTTCCCCAGTATACCGTCCGAAGGAATGTTGAAATTGTCATCTACTCTACAAGTCCTCCGAAGTTGCCACGAAAATGCCTAAAATTGTTACCACCGCGCGCCCGAAAAGCCAAAACCTGCCGCTCTTTTATTTCGTTATTTTGTTCTACTATTAACTTTGCTACTACGTCCTTGGAGTCCGAAAAAGAGGTTGAAGCTAATATGGATTTAACTAGGTCCGACTTGGCGTTTAACCTGCAAACGTTGATAGTTTGTTCGACGGCCATTTCGTGAGCTTTCACCTGCGTAATCCCTTCGATAATCAAGGAACGTTCTAGTGAGTCGGCTAACTCTTCAACACGTTTAGCAAAATCGGCATAATTATTGTTGCTAACATGCAACGCCGCAATTTTGCCTGCGACAACCTTACAGTTATCAGGCTTAATCCGACTACGTAATGCTACTTTGACGTCATTGATAGAATTTATTTGCGTAGGTAGCGCCTCGCGGGCTTTACCCTCTAACTTTGATTTAACAAGCTGTCTTTTATTGATGGTAGTGAAGTGCTTCTTTTAATAGGGGAATCTGGGTCAAATTTGTCGTCAATAAATTCTTCGTCTGAGTTTAGTTCACTAATGAGAATTGAAAAATCTGAAGGAACATCTATATGGCACTTGAGCCTATTAAAGCACCTAATCAGCAATTCCCTGCAACGTTCTAGTTCCAATTGTACTTCTTCGTGGTGATCCTTTATGAATAGGCCTTTAGTGTGCAATAAAATGTTATTGTACGATTCGACAAGCGATTGTTTATATTCCTTAAGCTTTGAGGCATTAGTCGAAAGTGGGCGACTTTGTAACACACGTTTGGTGATTGTAATAAAATTCGATTTGAGTTCTTTGAATTTATATTCTAACTCACTCATTACCGCTTACATGCGGGACCATTAATCCGGAAAGAAGTACCAATGAAAGTAGTGTTGCATATTAAACTTTGGAAAAATATATGCTAAATTTATCTGCTATCATTTTGTTCGAAGCAACCCTCGACACTTTTAAAATTTAAAAAACCGACCACGTACATATTAATAAACACCACACCGTCGAAATGCAAAAAAAATATTTTCCCGCAGAAAATCATAGTATCAAAAACGGATATATTGCAGTCTAAATGCCCATGAAGTTGTAGGCATACATGCGTGTTGCAATTGAGATTAAACGGTTTGCCTAATTGCAAAAATACATATGTATGGAATGCAGTAGGTAATACAAAAGTTGATAATTGTAATTGAGAAAGCACTTTGCTCGTACACATTACGGCAGTTTGCAATTGCTCGCAACATAATTGAAAGTACAATAGTAAAATGTGTATATGTTTGCTTGTATACGGTATAGTATTAAAAATGTAAATGTATGTTTTCCACTCTTACGTTATTGCCGCTGCTCTTTTACCGCTACTCCGTATGCCGCTGTTTCAGATGCCGTTTTTTTCGGATGTTGTAGTTTTAGATGTTGTTGATTCAGACCCGTTACATTGGTATCATTACCGCGTGCCTGTGTTCGCTCCAACTCGCCTGATTCTGCTTCTTCCCATGGTTCGTCCAATGGCTTGTCCTCGGCCGACTGATGACTTTGCCTGCTTTTTCGACTGCTGTGACTGATGATTTGGGTACTGTATGATAGATCTTTTTATCATGGCTAATCCTGCTCTCGAAAGGTTTGCATAATTGTTTCGCTGGTTTAGTACACGGCTTCGTTTATCTAGTTGCGGTTTCCCGTTCTTAATGCCCGCAGAGATTCTTGCCCTGGCCAGTGAGTTACTAATATACTGATTCCCAGCCGATACTTCAATGAAAATTGTCTGCGCTGCTATAGCTTTAAAACCTTCTTTATGCACACTATGGCCATGCTCAAACGTACAGACATCTTTATTTTCCCATGGTGAGAAAATGGCAAAAACTTTTAGATGACTAGTAGGGCTCACGATACCCAATGCAAAAACTGAAGACATTGACGCTCTTATTGCAGATGACGCGCCACGGTCGCCATGTAATTTATGTGGACCGTCTAGCCCTTGTAATTCAGGCGGAACGTATAGACATACTTGGCGAAATCGCCGGGATACACCTGCGCTGCTATAATTGTTTGTCCGTACAAATAATTGGCTGTTGTAGCTTACCAATATTGGCTGCAGTCACCTTGGGAGCGGTGTGGCTTTCACCACATTTGTAAAACACTTCGAATCCGAGTTTTATTAAAATTTATCCGTGTAGTCACCTTGGGAGCGGTGTGGCTTTCACCACATTTGTAAAACACTTCGAATCCGAGTTTTATTAAAATTTATCCGTGTAACTCGCTTGGCGGTCCAACCAGAAAAGAAAGACCGACATTTTATTTTATTTTAATTTCATTCCCCTCATTTGACATTTTAGACTTTTGACATTTTACAATTGTAGTTTGTAGTAGATTAGCCTATGGCTGGTGTTGCAGTGCGCAACGTGTGTGCCGCTACACATCAATGTAAATGGATGTTTTTCGTGTTAGACAATGAAATGCTGCCGCCTTTTGCGTTTTTGTTCTATAAATTGGTTAATTACTTAAAATAAATGCATGCATAAAAGTCGAAATAATTCTTAATTTATGTAATACTAGCAGACCCGGCGAACTTCGTCCCGCCCAAAATTTTTATATATTTTATTGAAACTTTTTGGTCCAACATTTTCACCAACAATTCACGTTTACGCTTTTCATTGGCACATTTTTCTGCTAAGATAAGGTTTGGTGGTCATTTGCCGCTTTAAATAACCTACGGAAAGTATTATATCCGTTCTTGAAATTCTCCAATTGTGCGGCATTTCATAGCACGGTTATTCGCAAAGCGAAATAAATTTTTTCCTCTTCACTCCCTGGCGGCAACAATGACCCGGTTCTATAGTGAATGTCCTAGAAGCTTTACAGTATAGTAGGTGGCAATTTCAAAATGGGTGCGAACCATTGTTCTACAGAAATGCAGTATACATATACTTATTTCAGACGAAATACCTTAAAAGTTTGAA